GTTTTCATCTTGGTTGATATAGATGTTGGTGCTATACTAACATCTGTATCATCATAAATAATGTTTTTCAAGCTATTTTTACTACAGAAGACTATATGCATAAACCTTAGAAATGGGGGAAAATTTTGTTTTTTTTTTCTTTGTAGAAAATATTTTTCTATAATTAAAAAGTTATTATTATACCTATATTATTACTGATGACAGTGTGATTAACACACATCGCTGTGTGGAATTTATTTCTAATTTATTCATTTGAAAAAAAAATTCTTCTTTAGAGAAAAAATTATTACATGGAGGTTGAAAAAGGAAGAAGTCCTTGAAACATGCACAAGTACAAACACAAAAAAAATAACATTTCATTATTACAGAGTAGGTCCTGAGTTTTTTTCTAGGCATAATAAATGATTGTACACTCAACAAGGTTCCTTGCCTGGAATGTCTATTAGGGTTCAAGGTCACCCTAGACCTCAAGCAGAATTTGTATATAGAAACCATCATAAAAGACACTGGAAAAATAGTTGTTGTCTTTACAAGAGCTAATATGGTAACATTGCCGCCATATCTTGAACTGTCCAATGCTCACTTTACAGCCTTGATAAGAGTTCAAAAGTGTTTATGCAGCCTTGGGGGGGGGGAAACATTTTCCACACTACAATTCCTTTCCCACAGATAAAACATTGCTAGCCTCTTGCGCTTCTTGATTACTATTTTCATGGCAGATATGCAGGCAAACTATAATCTTTGGTTCCACCAGTCAAGACCTTCACAGCTAGGAACCACCAGGCCACATACACAGAGTTAACTCATCCTGCTTCCTTTCATATTCCACCCAGACAACATCTTCACTAGAAATATTGCATTATGTAACTGACTCCTGAGAGGATGCTTCCCTGATTAATTTAATGTTAACCCTTTCAAGTCAAGGACCAATCATTATTTATCCTACATATCTTCACATAATATACACCTTTTTCCTCCCTTCCTGTATGGCCTTAAAACAACCTCATTTAGTAACACTTTACCTTGAGTGGCTCTTGGGTCTTGTATTGGGAGAAATATAGTTGTAATAAAAGAAACAGAGAAAGTGTATGTCTCTTCAAAACAAGATTCAACATTATGAAACCTAACAGACACTTGAGGAAGTCCAGAGAGTATGCATGCAAAACAACAAAAACAATGAGAATCTGAAATAATCTATATAAGAAGATATAAATCCAGTCTTGTATTTTTCAGTGGAGAGCCCATTGCTTCACCAATGAGTTGAATAAGCAAGTCAAACAATAAACTTCCTGTTGAAATGCCTGGTAAGGCAGCAACACATTGCTAGAGTAAAACTGTTATATTGCTCAAAGCTTAAAACAAATATTATGTTAGAAATATTTTATCAACAAATTTGCAGTGTTTAATATCTATGCATTGTGGACATTTCTTACAAATAAAATGAGACAGAGAGAAAACAGAGAGTAAAATAGAATTAATCCTGTGAGAATGTGCCTGTAAGGCAAATAAAGTAATTCAAAATATTGACTTGTTAAACCTGATGATGAGGATAAGGATGATAGATAATGCTTGACCTTTGTCTTGTCCACTCTGCATATATCTCTAAATATTATTATAACACGGCCAGCCCAGCTCAATCCTGGGTCCTTCCCATGCTGGTCAGTACTGCACCTGATCAACTGGCCACTTTATTTTTTCATCTACCCTGTCCCACGTTGTGTTCTTTGATCACAGAGTAGTGAAGAACGAATTTTGTCCGTACTTAAGTGCTGAACTGAGCTGTGGCAGAACCATGCTACAAAAGGACAAAGAATGCTTCTGCTGGCAAGAATACAAATATCATAACAAATTAACAAAGAAGGTTGCTGGGTCAATTTTCAATTGTTTACATAGTCACTGATACAACAAAATTAACCCTTCCTGTTAAACTCTCTATTGTGACACTATCCTTTTCTTCTAAAACTTGGAGCATGACAAGGTAGTTGGTCAGGAATTCTGTTGACAGCAGGTCACATAGGGTTCAACAGCTCTTTCATCAGCTGTTGTCTCATTTCATCTGCGTCTCTTGCTGACTCTTGGCTTCAACTGTTGGCTTCAACTAAGCACTCTGTTTATATGTATTTCATCTGATTCCTCAGGGTTCATCAATTATTTTCTCCAACAGTGAAGAACCAACACTGACCCTCAAACAAAGCAATAAGTTATTCAAAACAATACATTCTTCGACAATAATAATTTTTCTGATAAACTTTTGTGTTAAAAAATTATTTCTATTTCTATCTATTCTATTTCTATCTATGATGTCAAAGAATTTTCACATTCCTGATTCCTCAGGACATATTTTAGACTGTTTATGTCATTGGCTTCATGATTTATAATATTCAATATGTTTTTTGGCTGACAATCAATTATTTTCTCCAATTGTGTAGAAACAACACTGACCCTCAAACAAAGTGCTCAGTTATTCAAAACAATACATTCTCTGACAACAATAATTTTTCCGATTACATACTTTTGTGTTTAAAAATTATTTCTATTTTTCTGATGTCAAAGAATTTTCATATTCCTCAGGACATATTTTAGACTGATTAAAATCTCATTGTTTACATTCCAGCTTTGTGGATTCATAATTCCATTTTCCCATCAGTTTATCAGAAAAAAAACATTCTCTTTTTTTTTTCCTTGCTCCATATTTCAATTCATGTTTTCACTTTAATGATTTTAATAATTTTAACTCTTCCAATTCCTACATGGGGTTTTCACATGAACCCTTTTATTCTCTGCTTTATACTACCAGTGTCACAATATTGAGCACTTTTCCTAATATTATTTGGGGGGATCATTTTCTTTTACATCCAAGTTATAAGTAGATCCACGACTTTTTGCTATAGTAGATTCTATATATTCATATAGAAAATCCAGAAAATTTATAGTCAGAGTTGCTACTTTTAAAAGCCTGGTAATATTTATGTTGAAAAATGGTAAGAAAGGAAAAGCAAAAGAAAGTAATTCAAAATATTAACATGCTAATCTTTTAGTTTTTTTCTAACCAAATTTCAGATCAGAAAATTACCTTTACTGAGAACATTTGATTTAATAGTAAATTTCACCCAATACATGATTCATGAACGAGGATTTACCTTCAAAACAGTAATGATAAAGGAAATGTGTGATATAATTTAAAGAGAAGGTGGTAGGAAGTGAAGATGATGAGGATAAGTAGGATAGATAAAAATTGACCTTTGTTTTGTGCATTCTATCTATATCTCTAAATACTATCTACAATATAGAGCACATTTCCCAATATTATGTTGGGGGTCATTTTCTTTTTACATTCAAGTTTTAAACAAATCCCCGACTTTTTGCCATAGTAGTCCTATATATATTGCTCTAGAAAATCTAGAAAAATTATAGACATAGTTACTACTTTTAAAACCCTTTGATATATGAGAATATGGTAAGAAAGGAAAGATAAAAAGCAAGACAAAGTAATTCAATATATCAACAGGTTAATGTTTTGGTTTTTTCTAACCAAATTTTAGCACAGAATTACCAGATTTGAT